ACCAAGAGGCAGGTTTGCAATAGAGGTCAACTACGGTAGTTATTTAATGGCGCAGTTCCACTGCAGCGCGGAGCTCGCTTTAAGCGTGCCGTGTCGTGCCGTCCCCTTTTTTGGTTGTGCTTCCACTAGGCCAATTACCGGCGCGGCACGGCGCGGGGCCACTTTTTCACCTCTTTTCTGGCCCTAGAAAATTGTGGTTCTATCGGGGCCAACAAACAGGGCTGAGTCGGGCTGAGTATGCTAAACTAGAGAGAGGAGCGCTGGCAAGAGGGCTAGAACTACAACAAGATGGACATATTTGACCGTGATTTAATTGTAATACACGTTTCAAAATGATGCCGAAGTAACAACATACTGATACCGGTTAGTAAAAACCATGAATTAATGCTTTGACAAGTCTGCAGACAGACGGCAGGGGAAAAACCTTTTAAAATTCGTGTTTTTCTAGATGGAGATTGGCTAAGCTAACGCAGTATATGCCCCGACCGTCCACACTCACAACAACGGCCTATACAGACATAAATAAAGCAGCGACTGTATTCACCATGACACAGGCAGTCTGTGGTGTGTACTTGTTTAACTTTTGTCGAGTTTCTGAACATATATAAGGAGCTGTGAGCTCTGAGTGCTAACAGCTAACGGCTGTGTTGTGTTTCTGGATTTCTCATTGAAGATGACGTCACGGCTCCGCCTACACTGCGTTACTATAGTAACTACCCCAGTTCCTAAACTGTAATGGAAGCGCAGCATGAAGTGAGTCGGCCCTGTTAAGGCCCAACGCGGCCAAGCCGTACCGAGCCGTACCGAGTGTGGCCGAGGCCGACCGTGTAGTGGAAATGCGCCATAATACTGTTTGAAAGTCTCCACTGGAACAGTAAAATACATGGGAAAAAATCAATATGTGGCAGCTGCTTAGTGGTCTGTATAAATATAAATGACACAAATTTAAATAAAGCCATTTAAAATAATTAGAAGTTATTTGTCTTAGTTACCACTACCAGGGAGGTTATCTTTTAGTTTCTGTTTGTTTGTTTGTTTGTTTGTTTGTCAGTGGGATTACAGCAGGATTGCAAGATGTTAGCGGAAGTCTTGGCTCTCCGAGAGCCCTTCTATTTACTTAATGTATTGATCGTCTTTTTGGCTTCTCTTTGCAAAAATAACAAAGACTACCATCAACCTATTTTGCAAATGAGATTCCAGTTTCTGCACATTTCTCAGAAGCGGGCAGCAGGATTACATTGAGCTCTAGGTTTGTGCCCATGCTCACTGACAGTTCTCAAAGCGACAGAATCTATTTGTGATCGTTGGCAGCACAAACTGAAAGCTGTAATCACAGTGTGTTAAATAATCAGCTCCGACATTTGGGTTCTTGCCTCTCCCTTTGCTTATACTCGCTCTCTTTCATGATTACATTTCAAGAGTCTCAATGGTATGAGAATCACATCAAGTTAAAGATTTATATAGTTTATTGACGTGCTTTTAATGAATACAAATATATAATTTGGTACACAAACAGGCTTTAAAAAGTAAACTTAAAAATCATCCAATTTGTTATGCCATTCAGCCACATAGAGATTATTGTTGGCCACCAGACGTCCTTTTTTGATGCCAATTAATCAAATATTATTCAGCTAGAACTAAGCGGGATAGACATTTATTGAAAACCTAAGTGGATAATAGGATAACATTTGAAAGGGGCCAGATTTGGCTGCGGGTCTTTAGTTTGAGAAAAGTGCTCATTAGGCTAAAAACATCCTCTTAAACGTATACGGGCAAACAACAAGTTTTTACAGCAGAATTTAACTTTAGCTAATTTTATTATAAACACATACTATGATGGAAAACATTTAAAAAACATTTTATAAACATCAACTACCAGTGTTTGCAACTGTAGTTGTCAGAAGAATCATGAGAACTGTCTGATTGTCGAGTTTTTATTTGACAAATACAATAGAACATAAAATATGTCAGTAAATACCCAAATGGTGAAAATGAAGCTCCTATGTTTGAATATAAAGGCAGTTGCTATTAAGTGGCTAAATGAGACTACTATACATCATCCCACCAAATATTAGCCACCTTCAGCTTACAGGTGTTGACATGAGTCATGCGACTGTGATATATTTTATTTATAGCCTAACGTTTTTGACTCATGGTGATTGCATTTGCGCTTCAATAGTTATGCATTTCCAATGGAAAATTGTATCGGCTTTTTATCAAGGGAGCTTTTATGATGCTGCTCCTGGGTCGTCCCAAAAACATACATCATCTCTGCACCACATTATAACCTAGAACAAAAACCGGGCTCACATGAGGCGTACATGTTTGTTTGGTTATTGGCACTACTGTGGTTTTTAGCACTGAGTGGGATACTGAAGCTTTCTGAGAAATCTGTTTTTCCCTGTCATAATGACAAGATGAGTGTTGACATGAATTGTTTATGAATTACAAACTGATAACTTTTTCATTTACCTACTTTAGCTCAGGATGTTTTGAATTGTGATGCCATGCTAAGCTAACTAGCTAACATAGGTAGGTTAGCACGCTGTTCTCATTTACTGTTTGTAAATGTAATTGTAATGCACTATATTTCATATACAACCTTCATTTCAATGGAACCCACGTAATTGTGAGCCAGGAGAAGTGAAGTATAAAAACGACACTGCACAAGACATTCTCCTAGAACTTGTAGCTGGACATTTCTAGGAAAAAGGCAAAACAAAATAACTTTTCGTAATATATCATACAAACTACCTTGAGTTACTTTCATACCTTGAAATAAGCTTTTTCAGTAATCAGCAATTGCACTCTAGATCTAATGCTGCGTTCACACCGGACGCGATGCGAATATTCGCTTCGCTCTAAACGCTCCTATCGCATCGCTCTAAACGCTCGAGTTTCACCGCGGCTGTCAGCTGTGTTTACTCGCGTCATTCAAACAAGACACGCTGGCTCGGGAGCTACAACTACAAAAAAATGAACATATTTTACCGTGATTAAATTGTAATACACGTTTCTAAATGATGCCGAAGTAACAACATACTGATACCGGTTAGTAAAAACCATGAATTAATGCTTGACAAGTCTGCAGACAAGACGGCAGGCGAAAAACCTTTTAAAATGCTTGTTTTCTGAATGAAGATCGGGTCGACCAGGCTAAGCTAACGTTGTATATGCTCCGTCCACACTCATAACAACGGCCTACAGACATAAATAAACCAGCGACTGTACTCGCCATGACACAGACAGTCTGTGGTTTGTACTTGTTTAACTTTTGTCCAGTTTCTGAACAGATATGAGGAGCTGTGAGCTCTGTGTGCTAACTGCTAACGGCTAACGGCTGATGTTTTCTGGTTGAACGTCAGTGACGGCAGGCTGAGATCCTCACCGCTGATTGGCTACCGCGAGATCGCGTCACGTGAATATGACGCTCGAGTTGAACAAATTGAAGTCGAGAGTTTGTCGCGGCCCCCTTCAATCGCCTCAATCGCGCTGCGGAATTTGCGTCCACCGCTTCATGCTTGCCGTCGGAGCGAATTCGCGTCTGTCCGCGTCTGTCCACGTCTCTGCATTGACTTTACATGTAATCGCGCCGCCCCCAAACATCGCATCGCGTCCGGTGTGAACGCAGCATTAGAGACATTGGCTTCCAGCTTTTTTTGTTTTATAATGTGTTTGGATCAACTGAGTTCAAACTCAACCAATAGGATTGTTTTTCTCTCCAGGAAATGTTAAACTTAATAAAACTCCAATGGTGGCTTTTTTCCAAGAGTCAGGTTCAATGACTTATCTCCATGTCTTGTTGAGTGAAACCTGGCAAACTTTTCTTTAGTTGATATCAAAGTTGGACAGGCTTTTGGGTTTCACTCTGTACCGTTATTCAGAAAATTGGGTAAATCAGCTTCTAAGAAAAAATGCCCCTACTTTGATTTCAGACCCTCGGACAGGCCAGCTAATCAGCCTGATTACTTCATGGCGCTGCACAGAAGATGTTATTACTATAAATGACCTGTCCAATTGTTTGGAGAGTTTCTTACAAATGTTTAGCCGGATATAATCGAAGTGAAGTCACAGGGGAGGCCATTGGAAGAATAAATATTAAATAAGAGGAGCAATCCATCATAATAAATACCTTTCAATACTTAATGATGGGTTACACAGATGCACGTCAAATCAGTTTACTTATCAAACAGTTATCATGTGCTCCATGCTTATTTACACAAAATGCGGTTTGCATGTTTCCACAGACTTGATTAACCATATCTGCATTTGATAAGAGCAATATAAGCTTTCCTTTCTCTGCTTATCTATCTGTTCATCATTCCCATTGTAACGTTCCAGATAACGGGTAAACGTTCAGCCATGGTGTCAAGAAAGCAGGGAGCTGAATGGATGTGAGTCTTAACGTCTTTCTGTTGTGTGGGTGGAGTGATTTAAGACATACATCTCAAAATAAGAAAGTAGACGTTTAAGCAAGACCTGTCAGGAGAGCTTTCACTTATCTGTCTGCCGCTTTGACAACCACATCCATGCATCACACTTCCTCGAGTTATGTAAGGGGTTACTGACAGACTTAACCAAACGTTGACACTAATCCCTGAATGGCTGCCAATAAAGAGCAATGCACCCTTGATTGCGAAATAGATAGGATAATTTTGTATCTATTTGTTGTAAAAGAGGAATGAAGTCCAAAGATAACAAGGTGCGACAAGTATTGATCTCGCTTAAAGGCACTTTTTAAAAAAAACACAGATGTTAAGACTCTAATTCAGTTGGTCCTATACTACACTTCACTGTGTGTTTTCGTAGCACCTACCTTAATCCTAAACCCTTTTTTGTCAACACAACAGAAAAGCCCCCTCTTTATTCCTTCTGCTTTATCAGTTGTGACATTTCCTCTCGCAAGCAGACTGCAGGCTTTGGCTTGAGATCCCTGAGATAAATAGGGATCTCACATGCAAACACACAGCACTTAAAGACATCAACGCATGTCTACCTACCGTGCAAGACTGGTTCGGCGTAGGTCAAATCCTAGCATTGTCTCAGAGAGGAAGCAAGTAAAAAGAAACATATACAAAAAAAAAATAGAGTCAAGTATATACAAAGGTGGGTCTGCAGAGTCTCTCAGACCATCGTGCTCTTCTTCTCCCTAAAGTCAGAATGTGTTGGCTCGTGGTAGGTCGTGATCATGTTGGATGTGTCCCACCTTGCAACCGGGGTCGGAGAGCTCTGCATTACCACCAGCCTGATAGGAGACTGAGCTGGCGGAGGGTCCGGGGCGTACTCCTTAGTGGGATCTTTGCCCCGGCAGTCGTACATGATACACGATATCAGGAAGACGAGGAGCAAGATAACGTAGCTGGCAATCAGGATGCAAAGGTTCAAAGTGACAGGGTCGATCTCCTGGTAGTTTTCCAGAAAGCCCATGGTGCCCGCTTCATGCTGGGCGGCCCCGAGGCCTGGAAAAACAAGCGCCTCCGAGGCCTCAGAAGAAGGGAAAGTCGAAGCTACTGGTTGCTTTACAAACGGAGAAGCACTAAACAAGCCTGGAAACCGCAAGGCTTTCTCCCTCTCTATCCTCTTCAATCTGTCTCCCTATACTGTCCTCCCCCCTCCCTTGCTTCTGTCTCTCACCTCTCGGTTTCAGATGAGCGCCGCGAATACGGGGCTTTGTGGTAAAAATACTTTAATCCGCGCCACTCCTCCAACCTTGAATTTCTGCGATCAACAGTTCCCTTTAATAACTTAAGCTTCAGTTGTAACCGCGACAGACCCTGTGTTATATCATCTGCTTGAAAGTGGATATTAATTAATGTGTGTGGGACGCATTTGAGTGCATGTTTGTGTGGTGTAATCTTAATCTTGATTGTGAGTGGGGATTGACAGAGGAAGCCATCTGGCTAAATAGAGGCCGGACAGCGGGGCTAAAATGCCACTGGGGAAAAAATGCTAACATGCTAGCATAAGACTTTGTCAACAACAGGACAAAGTAAAATACATTTTTCTCTCAAATCTATGACCTTGTATTATTTTGCTGAACATGTAATCTGAGCAGATTACAGCAGACTCCTTGTTGCAGGCTACCAGGGAATCAGAGGTGGGATTACAAGTCAGTGGACTGCTCTGGTTTATAATCTCTGCTGCAGCATGACAAAGCACGCCATGATTGCGTAGGACCAAAGCCAAGGAAATGTGTGTGTTTGTGAGGATGTGACACTTTAGAGTTTCAGTTGCATGTGTCTCAAGAAATTTGCTGGAACTTTTGTTGTGGTGCAGGTATTTGAGATTGCTGTGAGACCGATGGACAGCAGAGGGCAGCAACTAGCAATGTTAGCAGGGGGACTAGAATCAGAAGAGGCTGGAGGCCAACTGTTACCCAGACACACAGGAGCACCAATAAAGCAATAACTCACACTTACTACTAATAAAGAAGCTTATGAACACAATGTTTTCTGTCTGTTTTTGTTGTTGTTAATGTGTCCAAGTAACATACTTCACACTGATTTGAAGCAGTTTGTGAGGTAAGAAAAGTACAAATAAATCGACTTAATCTATACAAATTATGTGTGAGTGTGCTGTGCAGTTTCACAGTGGATGGGGGTGATGTGCCAGTTTCTCTTTATTTTGAGATACTAAGTCAACATGTTGAGGTACTAAGTCACTATTTTAAGATACTAAGTTATTATTTCGAAATACTAAGTCACTATTTTGGGATACTTAGTCATTATATTGTGGTACTAAGTCTTTTTTTAAGATACCAAGTCTTTATTTTTCAATACTAAGTCCTAACTTCGAGATATGTCATTTTTTCAGATACTAAATCATAGTTTTGAGATACTAAGTCATTCTTTTTTAAACACTAAATAATTGTTTGGATGAATATTCAAATGTTTTAGTAGTATAGTTTATCATTAATTTGAGATACAATGTTGTCATTCCATACAGAAAACCTTAAAACCTCAACAACTGCACTCAAGGAGAGCAGAGCCAACAGGGCAGCACACTGTGGTTTTCCCCCAACAAGAAAAGTATTCATAACATAAACAGGGAGAGCATGAAATCCTGCACTAATCCAGTCCGTCGGGATGTTTCCTGCCTCCTGGTGCATAACAGTGAGGGTGGGCAGCAGATGTACTTTACATCTGCAGCAGAGAATGACCTCACTCTCCACGTTAATACATGTAATCCCTCTACATGTTCAGGAAACTGATGTTCGCTGCAGAAAGCCTGACCCCGATCCTGGCTGACCTCCACACATGAGAGCTGATGGCCAACACACAGCGCTCATCTGTCAGGGAGAAGTGATGAGCCACTCCAGCAGTCAGCATCTGGACCAGTCAAAGTGCACTCTGCATACGATGACTGCACCATTTCCATCTTTTTCAGTTTCATAACATGTCGCTATTTGCTCATGATGATTGATTGCCTTTCATGTGACAAGAGGGATACTGTATAACAAATGGTTTAACATCAGTCTGGAATAACTGACTCCAAAGGGACATATTTCATGAATGTGGATACAACTCACAACTTCAGGGGCCTGTTGGAGCCGATTTCTGTATTGCTACTAGTATCTGTATATTAAGTAGTATTTATGTACTTGTGTTGATCCCTTTTTGCACAGTGGTTGGTATTTGGAGTGTTTCATACGACTGTGCTTTTTTTGTTGCAAAATGAACAATGGAAAAACACACTTTGAGTATTAGTATACAGATTTATGGAAATTGTACTTATTAAACCAACATGCTATACAAAGGCACCTTTAATTAGGCAGGTAACGGTGTACTTTTCCCCAGTTTTTCCAATGATACTGGTGTTGCAGACAATCGTCAATTCTGTAGTTGTTAACCCTTTTCTTTTCCTAAAGACCCTCTTCTTTTTCCTTCTTTCCTAAAAACACTGCTTTACTTACAGTATGTGTTATACTGTATGTATGATGCCATATAGGGCCATTAAAGTTAAAATAAATAAAGTATGGTAATAATAAGGAGCCATGGGGGGAGCCTTCTGACACATTTCAATATACAATTAAGCCTGTTCACTGTGTCATGTAGAGATATGCTTTTTATAGCATTTAAAGTTGTCTTAAATAATTTCTGTCTTATTTTCTCAAAGAATTGTGAGTTTTTGTTTCTAAATGTAATTGCTCGAATCCATTGCCATATATATGTTAAAATGAAATAAAGAAATAGGAACAAAATGGTGGTTGTTTTAATAAATAAAAGAAACCTTAACCCTAACATTGGACTTTAAAACAAAAAAATACAAAACACCAAAATAACCCTAAAAAATACAAAAAGATAATAACAACAATCTAGGATGTATACAAATATTAGTTTTATTTTCAGGCTAACTACAAATAGCAGATGTTTTAGACTATAAACGTAATGTTCTTTATAAGTAAAAACAAATGACTTAAAATACTAAACTGACTTTTTACCAAAGAAAAGCATAGAGTTAGTTTGTGTGGACATGAATTGTGAGTTGAAGCAACGCCTTAAAAACAGCAGCCCGTCAGAGGAAGAGAGGAGTTTCTGTCCTGGGGATGTTTGTGTTGTTGTGGTCTCGAGGAGTGATGTAACACGTCTGTCTGTGTGTACAGCAGGCCTCTGGGTGGAGTGTCTCCTGCTCATATCTTGGAGATAGATCTTCCTCTAGCGCCAGACGCTGGTGCCAGGGAGTCCCGCGGCCTGGCTGAGGCCTGCAGACTGACAGCAGGGAGAGATGGAGAGGATGTGTTGACAAACCCTGCAGGAGCCTTCAAGGACCGTGAGGGCGAAGAATGTTACGAGTTTAGATCTGCTTTATACTCTTTCTCAACAGGTTGTTTGTTCATTTCCACAGCGTGAAGCTAAGAGTCTCTCTGCATCCTCCCCTGGATTACACACAGTAAAACATCAACTATCCCAAAAAACAAATGAGGGGCAAGAGACAAGTCATATTCCCCTACTGTGGCCACTATACTGTATATGAACACACAGAGGGAAATATCTGTGATATATAAGTATTCCCTGGATGACAAAACGACTGATAAATAATTCATTTGACAAAGAAAAAATAAACATTGAAACAATTGCCATTTTCTCTTTGGTTTACACAAAATGTAAGTTATAAAAATAATAAAAGAACACTTTCCTAATATTGAAACACTGCTTACACATTAATGCATAGTATTTTGATTAAACATATCATGAATTCAAAACTCTGAATGATGCCATGAATGGTACTTTATTTTTCTATTTGTATTCAATTTTATTAATAGGGAGAGGTGCACTTACCCTAACCCACCATTTTTTTAATTACCCCTAGAATTAATATTTATTAAATGTCTTGTGGTAAATAAAATCTTGAACTTAATATAACTTCCTGATTTGTAGTATATATTGGTATTTATAAAAGTGAAAAAAGGTGGAGACAGGCAGAAGAGCTTTTTATTTTGTTAATTTTCTCCCCAAGTATCAGGGATTTACCTATTGATATGTTTCCATAAAACATGTATAATTAGATAGTTTGCACAAGATTCTTAGACCAGTAAGCCTGGCTTCCTATAACATGTAAATGTCCTCTATCATGGTGGGAAAAGAAAATGTTCACTCCCGCTGAAGGCAAAGATAAGATTACACACTTGAGAGAATACATTTGAGTGATTTTAAATCAACCTCTCAGTCACAGTTACAAAACGAAACAGTTCTGGTTACATCCATCGTTCATGCTGGCAACTGACCCAGTGTGCTTGACTGGGTCAAAGGTTGAATATTGAATAGAGTCTGTAGTGGCCTGCAGGTCAGAGGTCACGTGTCGGAGGGAGGCGATGTGGTGAACGTGATCCTTCTCCGTCTCCGTTGTGTCTTCAGGCTGTTTGAGTTACTGCAGAGACGTTCCATGAGGTCAGCGAGGAGGTGCGGTTACACAACCAGGAGACAGCTGAGGGAAGCTCCCGCTGCGCTGAGGCTCCATCAAAACCTCTGTGCAGACACATGAGCAACGGTCAACAAACAGACACTGAAGCAGAGACACTGAAGCAGAGACACTGAAGCAGAGACACCGCAGGATCGTTTTTCATGCACTGGTCAATATTTGAGACGTTGAGCTATATATTTTATTAACTTTGTCTGTTTGCATTTATAGAATTCTTCTAAATTCACCAATAGTTAGCATTAGATAATGCCCCATTTGCATACTAAAACATACAATATGGGAAAACATGTAGTACAAAAAAGAGTTGTCTAGATGTAAGACATCAACTGGGGAAGTTTCATATTGATAGCTAGAAGTATATTTGAATGTATACTGTCCTATCTATATTCTGAAGCATTCTACAGAGGGTTTGTTTATATGTATTTTACAGCCTGATTAATAAAAGCATTCACTCCCAAAGGAAGAGGTTTGGTATTAAGTTTTCTGCTCTTAAAAATATGATCCTAAGATGTCAACAAAATAATTATTTTTGTATTTTGAACCT